TGTTATAATGTAAATAAACAAATTTAATATTTTATCTATTTCTTTACTTATTGAGCAAGCAACAAATTATACCGAGATCCCATAAAAATATGAAGCATACCTTTACAGTTAATAGCAGGGCTCGAGTGCACCCATAAGAGTAAATGTTCTCGCACGGAAAGAAAACATGAATAAAAAACTGGTTAAAAAACTAGTTTTAAAGTGATATTTTATTTTTAAAAATATTTTTATTTAATATAATATTAAATTCATGTTAATGTTAAAGTACAATACAGAGTAACATCCGGGACAAGACCATTGAAGTTCTCGTCCCGGTTGTGAAGTTCCGTCCGGGTCCATTCCACGGGTCCGGGCCTGATCATCGGATTCGACACCCGTGGAAGGCCGAATCCGACGCTGGTCTCCTCCTGAGACAGGAGGCATCCCAGTAGAGGTTTGAGGATCCATCAGAGCCCTGGGGTCCAGCCCTGAGTGGTCCTTTTCAAATTGAAGGTTTGATGCCATAGTAGTCATAAAACAAGGATTTAAAAAGGGTAATGAAGTTAATCATTATAATTTTTTATATACTAACTTAACAGATTATGATAAATTGTTAATAAATTATTATTATTCTTACAAAAATACCGTCAATTTTATAAACAAAAACATCATTTAAATAAAATTTGTAAAATTTAGCATTATTCTTTAATTTTATTAAATAAACAATTATTTATTTGAATTCCTAATTTTCGAATTGGTCAGAAAAACAATTTAAATTGTTAAAATCTATTGAGAATTAAGAAAATAAAGCATCTATTTTAACTTTTTAAAATCCCCCTAGCGGCTAAATCCTACGATGATTCAACGATTAAAAATGTATATAATATATAAAATTACAGGAGATGTTCTAATCGATTATTTTAACTGGCCCGCTCGACCACAATTAACCCATAGACCGAGAAACATCCTCCTTTATGACCAAATCTCTAACGAATTATATTTAAAAAACAAATTGTATTATAATTATTTATTGTTATATATAAATAATAGAGTTGTATTCCCAATTAATAATGAAAATCCTGATATACATGTTATGAGAATATTCTTGATTCTGTGATTTATTTTCATATACAGTTTGATAGAGACTTAGAAATTGTTAAATAATTTCTATCAATTGAAAAGCAATTGATTGTTGATAGTATTGGTAATCAGAAATTGTGAGTTTCAATCAGGGTCTATGCACCGGTAGGTTTGAGTAGTGAATATCTGGTTGATATTAGCGGTGATGACAATCACTTTAATCATTAATGAGTGAGAGATAGAGATGTGTTTTCATTGGAAAGCCTTCTTACGGTATAGGTATGTCTCGTGAACATGAGTTATATTGCGATCAAAATGTAGTGTTTATTAGATATAACTCATTATATAACAAATAAAGTCACATAAAATCTATTGTTAATAAATATCTGTGTTTCAATGGTTTCTAAATGTGATAATTATTGTTATCAAAAGATATTGTAATTCACTATACATTCAGAAATATATTATTTTGAGCTTCTACATTATATAAAAAGAGATTTTTTCAAAATTCTTTTAAATTAGTTTTATTTTAGCTTTAGCAATTTTATTAAGATATATTTTTAAAATCCATACAAATAATAATTTATGTATTTAACATTAATTTTATTATAAATAAATTCAAATCCAATATATGACCCGTTATTAAATAGTAATGTTTTATATGAATGAGTGGATAGTTATCACATATTTTCAATGACAACACACTTTCATATCACTATTCATTTGGACTTCATTTTGTGTTTTGTTTGAAAATAATTTACAAATAAATTTTGTTTTATTTTAAAAATTTATATTTTTTCCATTAAAAAATTTTGTGTTTTTATAATTGTGCTCAAAATGTGTGAAATTAATAAGTTTCGCATTTGCGATACGATTGACGAGAATATTAAACACGAAATTAAATTATTTCATGTTTTCAATGAAAATATACTATTTGTAACAAACAATGACTCAGTTTATTGTATGGGTTATAATCAAAGGGGTTGTCTGGGTTTGGGTCACGACATTGAAGTGAAATCACCACAAATTATACGACAATTATGTAATCAAAGGATACAAAAGTTTATGAATGGAAATGACTTTGTGTTGGCTATCAATCACATGAATCACGTGTTCAGTGGGGGTCACAATGATTGGGGACAATTGGGTAGACGAACAAAAAGGTTATTGTTTTTCGGCACAGATTATGGAAATTATGAAAACATATCGCAATTGAATGACAAGAATATCACACAAATAAGTTGCGGTAGTTTTCACTCCCTGGCACTCACCACCAATGGACAGGTGTATGCGTGGGGTAATAATGATGAGGAACAAATTGGTAACAATAATACATATCATTCAGCATGGACACCAGTATTATTAGAATTTGCAAACAACTTAAGTCATCCAATGTATTACGAAAACAATTATAAAATCAAAAGTATTTTCTGTTTTAGTGATAAATCGTTTGCCATTACTGTCGAGTAATATTAATCTATTATTTTGTCTAAATATTTAACATATTTATATCAAGGTATATTTAATTATAGTATTAATTTTTCAGGGGAAATGAACTGGCTAAATACGATAACAGTTTATTTCATTGCAATTTATCAAACCTTTTACAGATATTTAATTCAATGGTTTCATTTGGACCTGATATTAGACCAGGGTGCAGTGAGATATTAAATATGTGTGATAAATGGTCATTGAGCAAGGACATTATACAAGCGAATAACATTGCATTTACTCTATTTTTGAATCGACCTACATTAGTTGATTGCCCAGTATTTAATGAAATTATAAAAATTACACTAGCAATATAATCTTATATTAAAGTTTTGAATTAATACTATTTAAAAATAATTTCATTTTGTGTTTATTATAATGTCAATTTATAATCAATCTTAGATTGTTAATCACAATAATAAAATATTCTAATTGTAATTTATTAAAATAAATAAAGTAAACATTATTTGTTATAAAATAGTTATATTTATATTATTCTGGATATGATATGAGCTAATTCAAATAAAAAATATTTTATATTAAAAATGATAACAATCGTGTAATATTAAATCATGTGTTTCAATTTACAATGGGAGTTTGTCATCAGCACTGGAAATATTGTATTTAATTTGTATTAATTTTGACGGAAAGCATATAAACATAAATATGACTTACGATAGACACACTACAGGTGTGGGTACACCTAAGTAATACACCTAATTTTCTATGACAACACCTTTCATATCACTATTCATTTGGACTTCATTTTAGGTTTTGTTGAAAATAATTAACTGTTTTTTGTTTAATTTTAAAATTTTAATTTTTTGTTATTTCAATAAATATTGTTTTTTATAATTGTGTTCAAAATGTGCGAACTTTTGAATAAGTTTCGCATTTGTGACATGAATATTAAACACGAAATTAAATTATTTCATGTTTTCAATGGAAATATAATATTTGTGACAAACAATGACTCAGTTTATTGTATGGGAAGTAATATTAGTGGTTGTCTGGGTTTGGGTCACGAGAATGAAGTGAAAACACCACTAATTATACCACAATTATGTAATCAAAGGATACAACAGTTTATCAATGGATATGACTTTGTTTAGCCATCAATCACATAAATCACGTGTTCAGTGGGGGTAACAATATATGCGGACAATTGGGTAGACATACGAAAAGGTTAGGGATTTTCGAAACAGAATTTGGAATTCATAAAAACATATCAGAATTGAATGACAAGAATATTACACATATATGTTGTGGTCGTTGGCACAGGGACCGGAAGTGGTGGTTACCTGTCCATATACGCACCCCAATATTATTTAGCCTTATTTAACCTTTATTATGTATATTATGTTATACCTGTGGTCATAACAACCTTAAACGTTTATTAATATTTTTCAAAAATGTATTTTGTTTTAATTGTAAATCATTTGCTATTACTGTCGAGGGTTTGGTATTCAGTTGGGATATGAATTTGTGTCATGAATTGGTGTATACGTCAAGTGGTAGATCATCGTCACCCAAATTGATCCCAAATCTTAATGATATCGTATCAATTAATTCATCTTGTAATGTAAACAACACGTTTACGTGTTTTCTATCGAATAGTAATATAATATATATTTGTGGAAAATATATGGATGATATGAGACAAATAAAAACATTAAGTACCCCGATACAAATTTCATTAAACTTAAGTGTTCAACAATTTAATGAGCTTCATTCATATTATAATAATTGCAAAATAATAATAAAAACTGATGATATAATTTGTGAAATAATCTCACCAGGTCGAATTAAACAATATAATTATAATAATTTTGTTGATTATTACGCCAATGAACTACAAATAAGTTACAATACATTGAATACCTACGATGCACATTCATATTAATCCGGGCCACACTAACAGTTACAATTCAGTTAAAATATTGTGCATATTACTAAATTTGTTACAACGCTAGTTTTTTGTGTCTCATTATAAACTTAAGTGGTTTAAAATGAATTATAAATTAAAGTGTAAATAGTATTCTAAAATAATTTATTAGCCAATCATAAATACAAATTTATGAATAATATAATGTATAACCTTGATTTGTTTAGCATAGATCTTTGTGCCAACACATATGATTAATAATTATTAATTAAACATTAATTTACACTTTAATACATTAATACCNAGCATAGATCTTTGTGCCAACACATATGATTAATAATTATTAATTAAACATTAATTTACACTTTAATACATTAATACCCTGTTAAAGTGACTATAAAGTTTATAATGATAAAGTAAAAACTAGTGTTGCGACTAATATAATAAAATGTAAAAGTTGTTTAAACACTATTGTGGCCCCAAATGGCTCGAGTGTGCATCGAAGTTGAATACAATCCCAAAAGCTGTTACCACTTCTGGTGAAACTAAACTCCATTTAAACGATATGTTGAATAAAGCGGTGAAACCTACGGATCAAACCCCTATCAAAGGGTTGTCCATATCGTCGGCCCAGTCGTCGACATATAGTGAATTTAAAGCCGATTCTGAGGACACGATAAGTGATATACAAGAGGAAGAAGATAATGGATTGACATTAGCTTTGAGTCAATCGGAAGTAGAGCCTAAAGATTGTAAGACAATGAGTCATACATTAACTATAAAGGATACGGCACCGGCAGGTAATACTATTACAAAATGATTTTGTAATTAAAAATTTAACGTATTACCAAAAATAATTACAAATAATTTCATTAAAACTAGAAAACATTTCATTTGAAAACAATTATATAAACCTTTTCGAAGAGTTGTCTGTAATAGGATCGGGAGGTTTTGGAACGGTATTCAAAATGAAGCATAGATTCGATGAACACATATATGCCGTCAAATGAATTCAATTGAATGGTAAATACAATATAAATATTAAATTACATAAAGTTAGATATTTTTCAAATATATTTAAGATTCTTCCGATAAATACATGAAACGTATTCTGAATAAAGTGAAAAATTTAGGTAAAGTTCGTTCAGAATATTGTGTTCAGTATTACAACTCATGGCCAGAAAGCAAACACCTCTACATTCAGATGGAGTTTTGTTCACAGAATTTACGGAATATTCTCGAAATGAAACCAAAAGTATTTGACAGACAAATAGGAGAAGCCATGGATTGTGTCGAGTATTTCATTTCGTGTGAAATATTCCGAGAGATCTTAGAAAGTGTTCAGTATTTGCATGAATTGAATCCACAGATCATTCACAGAGACCTCAAACCCGACAATATATTGATAGACGGGAACGGAAGGAACGGTAGATTTGTTAAGTTATGCGACTTTGGTTTGGCTAAAATTCATGACAATGACATCAATTGCAAGACTAACGATAAGCACACTACAGGTGTGGGTACACCTAAATATCAAGCACCTGAAATAGCCCAGGGTAATAAATATGGTCATAAAGTAGATATTTATAGCCTGGAAATTATTGGTTCTGAAATTTTTGATTATGATTTATTTTTTACTGACCCTGATAAGTATGTAAAAGAAATTTTATATTTTATGAAATCTATTAATTTTTGTTCTCAAATATAGTTCTGAAAGCCTTTACTTTGGGAATGAAATCCTAAACACAAAAATAAATGAATTGCAAAACATTTTGGTGTCAATGATGTCAACCCCTCAATGGGCCCGAAGGCCTGACTGTTCACACGTTTTGCATAAATATAAGGAATGGGCTATCGATCAGAATATTCTTTGGACTAATATTGAATTACCATTAACTCAACAAAAACATCAGGATCAATTTTTTATTGATTTCTTTCATAGCAAATTTGACAAATTTAAATAATTGAACTTGAGTGCTTTTAAATTCAACAAACGAGTTTGGGTTATCTATTGGGTTTTGCAAAATTTTTTGCGAGTTACAATTTATTCGGCAATGGATAATAAAAATATTTTTGAACTTCAACTATGGTTTTTGTCTTTATGTGTTTTCCTGGTGAGACTAATTGATTAGAGCACCGGTAGTTCCGCACTGGTAGCTTTAATGAACAGCAAAATCTATAAGTCCTAGAAAAACAGAAACAAAGAGCATAAAAAATGATCGAGCCCATTTATCGGGATTTCCCTGGTAAATTGATTACTAAGGGACAGGGAGGCCCGGTAAGTCGTGATTTTTTAAAAATTATTTTAAATTAAAGATCTGATTGGGTCATCGAAAACTACTCAAAAAATTAATAACATTTGAATTTGAAATTTTAAAAATATTTAAATAAGCACTTAAGTTAGCTTGTTTTATTTGTTACAGTTATGATGGATCTGTAAAACAAGGATTTTGATTTGCCCTAGATTAGTTATTTCTCGAGATAAGGTTTAAAGTGCAATGCAATGCTTATCTCCTTTTGAAGCATATTTAGATGGTCTAATCGCTACGATGCACATTCAAATTAATCCGGGCCACACTAACAGTTACAGTTCAGCTAAAATATTGTAATTTACATGGGTGCGGGTCTATTGACCTAAAAACCAATTGACATAAACTTAAATAACTTAATGACCAGTAGGTAAATATACATGATGACCAGTGTAAAATGTTCCCCTTGACCTAACCTAACCTTACCTATCCTTACAATGGTCAATAGTCTATTGGTCATTAAGTTATTTAAGTTTAGGCCAATTGGTTTTTAGGTCAATTTGCCAGTTCCCAATTTACATATTATTAAATTTGTTACAACACTAGTGTCTCATTTTAGTGTCTCATTATAAACTTAAGTCATGTAAAATGAATTATAAATTAAAGTGTAAATAATGTTCTAAAATAATTTATTAGCCAATCATAAATACAATATTTATGAATAATTTACACAGAATAATACAAAGAAAGAACACTGTCATAATACATACAGAATTGGCTAACTGGCAATCAGGATTTTTTGATTGTATGTGAACGTCCATTCAATGTTGAGTCAGAATATGTAATTTATATTGTCCTGTGACCTCTGGTTCGGCCGCAGTGAC